TTTGTGTTTTCCCATTTTTGGGGGGTTTTTTTCCCGGGTTTTTCCCATTTTTTTTTTTTTTTTTAATTTTCCCCAGGTACTGACTCTGAAATCCAAAAACCTCGTAGGAATCACACTGACCAACTGTGGAATAACAGATCTGGTGCTGAAAGACTGCCCCAAAATGATGTTCATCCATGGTATGTGGTTCATGTTACAGGTGCCTCCTCCCTCTGGCATTATTGGAAATTCCTGAAAGAATTCAAGGCAGGCCAGTGTTCATTTTGTATTCATCAGCTCCATTGCTGCTTCCCACTCGGAGTGTCTCTTAGAACAGCTTTAATAAAGATTAATATCTGAAAATCAACAGCTGCAATGATCTGACAATTAGCAAGATGAGATGTTTATTGAAGAGTGATAATGCAGTAATTGGGAGTTGATGAAATGAGTTGGAGTACCTTGTTTTTCTCTCATTCCTTCATGCTCCCATAGATTTTTTTAGCTGACAGGATGATACTTTTGCTCCTTGACATGATAAAATCTGTTTTTAATGCTGCCACTTAGGTTGCATTAGTTTCACATGCCAGGGCGTGACTGCTCCTGTATTGGGTCATTTATTGTTTTCTGCAACATCTAAATGAAGACGTTTTCTTCTGCCATGAGATCTGTCTGCTTAGTAGAAATAAAGGAATTATTTCTTTATTCCAGGATACTTCGAACACACATTGATTTTGAAGTAAATTTTGATTACATGAGCAGTGTTGCTAGAAAGGAAGTAAGTTTATTTTCCATTGTGTGGCATCACAATCCTGTGTTTGAGGTGATTTTGGGGGTTGTGGCAGTCCACAGACCATTTCAGTGAAAGGAAGCAAAGGGAGGAAAAGGTTATTGTTCCACAAAATTTGACATGGCCTTTTAAAAGGCCACATCTGGCAAGTTCACAGCTGAAAAGTTCAACCATAATATGGAAAAAATGAAGAGCTGGGCTATGTCTGGTTACTTAAGTAATTTTTTGGTGTTTATATTGCTTGTTTGCCTTCTTTTGAACCTGTCAGCCTTGAAAATCCCTGACAGGAGGCTCCTGAGGTCTTTCATTCCCTTTGAATCCATTGATTTGCTCTTTTCTAGCTACAAGGTGCCGTGTCTTGAAACACTTGAAGGTGGAGAACGCCCCCGTGGTGAATCGCTTCGACTACGCCCAGTGCAAGAAGCTGAACATGGATCAGGTGCTGGATCAGATCCTCAGGATGCCCCCAGAAAGGAACAGGATCATTTACCTTCGACCCATGCAGCAGGTACAGAGCCAGCCTGCAGCTCTGCCTGGGGGGTTGCACTTGGAACATTTCCTGCCTTAACATCACCACTCTGAAATTTGGTTGTTAAAAACCCAGCAAGGCTTTTATTGCAGAGCCTGTACTTGGATTTTAAGGTACTCTGATAGATTAAGTCTTAAAATTCACCATTTCCATATTCATTACATTAGAGGATATTACAAAATGGGATGCATTGAATGAATTTTAAACTGAATCACTCAAACTATGAGAACCTGGCTGCTTTTTGTAGCTGTGTGTGAGCAGAGCGTGACACAGGGATCTGAAATCCTGTTAGATTGAGGGACAGCAGAGTTTGGGGTACTGGAGGCACCATCCACTCCTCATGCTGAGTGTTGCAGGACACTGGGACTGAGAGCCACCCTCTCCTCCACAGGCTGTGCAGGAGCTGGAAGCAGGGACATTATGGTGTTGTTTAAATCATCCATAAGGGTTTGTGAGGGTTTCAGTTCAGATCTGGAAAATTGGGATTGTTGACCTTGATCCCTCAGTATGGCTCTGTGGTGCTACTCCTCTCCTGCCTTTCCTGGCTTGCTTTGCCAGCAGGGGAAGGCTGGTTGGAATAAAATCGGCTGTGCTTTGAAACCACATCTCTTAGAGGAGAGTGGTAAAAATATTAGGAGGGAATGAAAACCCAAAACCAAATCATCACACTCTCCCTAAGGCAGATACAGATTCTGAGAAATGAATTTCCATATTGGAGTTGGGAAACCCATCAGAAAATAGACATTTCCCATCCAGTTCCACCACTGAAGAAGCTGAATTTTCAAAGCTGCACTAGGGAGGTTTCACTGCCCTCAATCCTGTATTTATTGCTGTTGTTGAATCCCCCTTCACTGCTGGTTTGGTTTCCCTGGAATTTGGGGGTTTGGTTGAATCTGTGTGCTGCTGACTGCAATCCCAGCTCGGTGTTTGTGGTGCTCAGCAGTTTTTGTCCCTGTCCTGCCCAGGTGGACACACTGACTCTGGAGCAGAAGATCTTCAGTGGCCCTTACCCCTACCACATCTGCATCATCCACGAGTTCAGCAACCCCCCCAACGTGCGCAACAAGGTGCGGGTGCGCAGCTGGATGGACACCATCGCCAACATCAACCAGTGAGTGCTGACTACAGCCTTGGGTACACCTCACAGGGAGTGTGCCAAAGTGTCCTGGAGCAGCTGCACCTCCACATCTCCTCTGTTCTGTCACCCGAATTTAAAGAAAATCAGTTTGATTGCTGCTGGAGGTTGAATTCTGGATGGTGCGATGTAGAATTTTAGTGTGAAGATGTGTCTAATATAAAGTACAGACTAAAACCACACCCATATAAATTTATAGATTTATGTATATATAGATATAATCCTGTAAATTATTTATATATATATATATAAAATCCTGTAAATTATATATATAAATTATATAATATATATACAATATATATATATTAAATAATATAAATATATAAATTATATGTATAAATATATAAATAATATAAGTATATATATATAAAATCCTGTAAATTCTCCAGCAGTAGTCATAATTCATCACATTATTCCAGCAATAATGCAGTTGTGCATTAAAGTCACTGGAATGGCTGAGAAGTACCTTCAAAGCTGAAAACAAGTTATTTTTAGAAAGGTGTTTTTTCCATGAAATAGTATTGGTTTCTGTGGAAAGTGATGATCAATTAGTACCAGCTCCTGGAATTCCCAGCAGCAGGGAACTGTGGCTCTCGTCCAGCAGTTCCCAAGCTGTCCCTGTTGGCTGTGGTTTCTCTCCAAAGTGAAGAGATGGGTCCTGAGTTGGTGTGAGGCACTTGGGCCAGTTTTTCTGTGGATTCAGGCTCATTAAAGGAAGGGTTGTGTATTAGGATTTCCCATTTGGTTTTCCTCCCTCCCACCCTCCCATTTCTGGACTGTAACCTCTCCCTCCTTTTTCCTAGAGAGCTGATCAAATACGAGTTCTTCCCTGAGGCCACCAGGACTGAAGAGGACCTGAAGAAATACCCCAAGTACCCCTGGGGCCGGGACATTTACACCCTGGAAGGTGAGAGTTTTGGGGAGCTCAGGGCTCCTGGGCAGTCTCTGCTCAGAGGAGCAGCTTTGCCAGGAGATGTGGGGAATCCTCCTTGTGAGGAAAGTGGGGAAACTTGGGCTCAGTGGGGGAATAAACGAAGAGATGCTTTATTGGGGTGATAATAGGATAATGGAGTTGATGGGAAGAGGGGTGATATTGTCCTCTCTGCATCCTCACCCTGCTCTCTCACAGGCATTGTGGATGGTGCTCCTTACTCCATGATCACAGATTTTCCCTGGCTCAGGTCCCTGAGGACAGCAGAGCCCAACAGCTACGCCAGATACGACTTTGAGGACGATGAGAGGAGTGAGTGCCCTGCTGGGATGCTTCACATCACTTGCTTGTTTGGCAACACCTTCCTTTATTTTCAGTTTTCTGCTTCTCAGGCTGGTTTTGGTAGATCTTTTGGGAGCTAGAGGTAGGCTGGAGAGAAGGGAGAAAACTCACAGAAATTTGGCATAAGAGTTCAAAACTGGACTTGAAAAATCTGGAATGGAGATGGTGTGGGTTAGAGTTTACTGTAGATGTGTCTCTTTCTTGTCTGCTCAAATATGATGGTAGGCAGTGCTGGGGCTCAATTAAAAACCTGGCTTTGAAGCAGAGAAAAGTATGTTCTTCCATTACTTCATTTGGAACATCTGGGAATCTCCTTCATTAGAGATATTTTTAATTGGCTATGGTCTGGATATTCTTATCCAGCTCCTGTTCATAAATCTCAAGAGGATGAGGACAGGGTGGTTTTGTTTTTGCTATACCTTTCTCTGGTTTTATTTTAATTTTTTTTAAGGTTTTATTTTAGACTGATTTAATTTAATTTWRTTTTATCCTGRYTTMATGCTTGCACTTCAATATGAAGGCTGAATTACCAAAAAGTTGATATTTATTTGATTTAAATTTCAGGTTGTTAAAAGGGTCATGGGGTTAAAGCCATAAAAATCAGGAGAGCGCTGCTGCTTTATCCTTAATTGCTGTTGTTTATAAAATATTTAATTACTGGATAACCTGGAATTCTGTCAGGGAGGCCTCAGGGAGAGGGTTTGGGATTCTCTGGGATTCCCTTCACTCTCAGATGTTTGGGATGAGGGTTGGAGCTGTGGAGCTTTAAATCCGGGGAATGCAGGACAGAACATTGCCGGGCAGGGGCAGACTTTTCCTTTGCCTTGTTTGCCAAGTGTGAACACAAAACCAGCCTGGCTGGCGAATTTTTGGGGACAAAGATGCCATTTTGCTCGTTGTGTTTCCCCAGCCACCATCTACGCCCCGAGGAGGAAGGGGCAGCTCTCAGCTGACATCTGCATGGAGACCATCGGCGAGGAGATCTCGGAGCTGCGCCAGGTCAGGAAGGGGGTGTTCCAGAGGGTTGTGGCCATCTTCATCCACTACTGTGATGTCAATGGGGAGCCCGTGGAGGATGATTACATCTGAGGGGTGTCCCCAGCCTTCCCTCCCTTCCCCCTGGCGCTGCTGGCCAAGAAAAGCAGGATTTTCTTTTTCCAAATGCAAAGCATTTCCCAGGAAGGCGCCCTCGGCTCTCCTTTGGCCAGGAGGATGTAGTTAAATGTAAAATGGAAAGTACAAATTGTATACTAAAGAGTTGTACATAGAGGAAACAAAAAAAAAAAAAAAACTTCCTAATACTGAAACTTTATTTCATATGTTTATACAATTTAATTTAAGTTCCATTTTAATGAAGGCCAATAATTAGGAACAGGGAAGAAGATTTGAACTTTTCAGCCCATATGATTCATAGCAGTATTTTTCTTTTTCCTTACAAACAACAATTCCATTTGCTGTGTTCAAAAGAATCATCAGAGCCTCTTTTAATCTGTGCCTTTTTCTTGAGCATTTAAGAGTCCAGTCTGAGTAAACCTGTTGAGCACAATCTCGGTGTCTCGTGTGCATTTTTGGAAGGGTCAGAATATTCTCCAGCTGTTGCAAAGAAGGCCAGAAGCAGCAAAAAAAAATGTAGAGAATGTGGTGATCTGTGGTAGTTTCTAGAGGTTATCCAACCCATTTTTGGGGGGAAATGCAACCCCCCCGTGTTTAGCACCTTGGAAGCAGAATGTTCTCAAGCATTTTGTACTGTTGGATTGCATTTTCATGGTGTACTTGACTCTGTACTATGGAAATCAAGTTGCTGATTGTTGGTTCCACTGTGTTTTAACACAAACCTGCCCGTTTTAGCTGGCTGGGAGCTGAAGGCAGGCGGGAAAGGGGATGTGGAACTGCTGGGGCAGCACAGGCTCCGTGTGGCACAGCCAGGGAGCTTTGGGGCTGGGCTGTGCTCGCTCCTCAATGCACATTTTCCATGTGGTCAGTAAAAAGTGCTGCTATTTGCCCCAAAACGTGTGTGTGTTGTGTGTTCAAGGGCTCTCACGGTGCCCACGGGTGTTTGGTGGGGATCTGCTGCCAGGGCAGGTATAAAATGCACATTTTGGTGTTGCACTAATGGGGTGCCCAGGACTGAGAGACCTTGGAAAGGCCAATTCCCAGCTCTGGAAAGGAATTCTCAGCCTTGGCGTGGTCTCTCATCTGTACTTGTTTAAAATTGGTGTTACCGGCATAAAAAACGACACCTCCTGTGGTAAAAATCTGTACAATTCAAGCAATTTTATCCTATTTTGTTCATCATTCTGATTGTGATTCTCTGAACTTTGGGGTAAATGTGGCTCATGGGGATTTCTGTGTTCAGCTCTGTAAAATCGAGGTAAAACTGCTCCACACAGCAAAGCCCGTGTTGGTTTTCTCTGCCTCTCAGTGGGAATTCTTGGGATAATGTGGAACTGGAAATGTGTGGGAACAGAGGAGGAGAGTGGTGCCTAAGGGGAGCAGCATTTCCTCAGCCCTGCTCTTGGCTCTGACTGGAGGTGGAGCACTGAGCACCAAAAATGTGAGTGTTGGTGATTTGCTTTAATGCAGGATCACAGGCAGTGGTTTATTGTAACTCTTACATTGAACCTTAGATAATGTATTCAGTGATACTCAGACAAAACAGTTGTCATCCTGTCTAGAAGTGTTTCAAATCCTCCAAGTTGTGGATTCAGTCAGATTTACCATTTAGTCCAGAAAATGTGACTGAGTTCTGGAGAATTGCACCAGAGCTGCCGCTGGTAGCGTTGAGCCACAGCCTTTGCAGTATTTACACAAATAAAGTGTTTGTTTCTGTTCAATATTCCCTGGAGCAGTTTGAACCTTGCAGTAGCTGTGACCTCTGGAATGTTGTCCCCGTTTTACCCTGGTGCCTGAATCCCCTCTGTCCCTGTCCTGGGGGCTCTGGCTTGGGGAGGAGCTGGGATCTGCCAGGGTTTCATCTTTGGGCTCTGAGCTTGCCCCTCTCTGTGTTTTGGGCACTCTGTTCTGTCACCCTGGCAAGGGAGGCTTTCCTGGCTCTGCCCAGCTCTTAAACTGCCCTTGGATGTTTCTGTGCCAGGCTCCTCTTCCTCCTGCCCTGCTGGGTGGCACCAGGGGCCACTGCTGTCCCTGCAGGTGAGGGGATAGTGATCCTGCTCTGCCACCTCCCCACAGCACAGGGAATCCCAGCTCTGGGGCATCCTGGGATCCATTCCCAGCTCCTGACAAACTGGGACATTGCAGCTGGATACGGGAGGAAGCTTTGCTGCAGTCCAGAGGCAGCCTGGCAACCCCTGAACCTAAAAGGTGAGCAAAAAGGACAGGAAATGCCATGGTGGGGCATCACCTCTGTGCTCTGCGTCCGTCTGGGATGAGACTTTGGGGAAATCATCCAACAGGGAGGAATTCCTTCCCTGGGTCAGCTCTGGGTAAGTGAAATGTGGGCTGGATTTCTGTCCCTCTGGTGCAGGGGCACGATCAGAGGGGTCTCCTTTGAAGGGAAATCAGCACTTGCAGCTCAGTTCAGCTGGGAAAGGCAGGTGGGGGTTGCACTGGGAATGGGGTGGCCCCGCTTTTGCCTCAGCTCCTGGAAGGGTCTTCAGGAATCCCAGCTGGGAGAGGCTCGAGTGCCTGGGAAGTGTCATTTAAACAGTGCAGAAAGGGGACAGAGAAAGGCCCAAGTGGGCTTGGGCACAGCAGAGGGGGCACAAAGCCTCATGTTCATATACTGGGTGTTCCTTTTCCCAGTGATTTCGGAGAAGGCAAAATCAGGGCTTGGCTTTGAACGGGAGAACGATTTTGGAAGTGTTTTATTTGAGGAAAAGCCCAGATGAAGTAAGGAGTTGATGATGGAGACAGCAATGTTGCCCCTGCCCTCTCCAGGCTGTTCAGAAGTGAGGAGCAGCTGCAGCCTCCTCTTGCCCAGAATTTCCCCTTTTAGTTCCCAGTTCAGCAATTCCAGTTTAACCCCTTGGCGGGGGGTGGCAGGGAAGCCACGTGTGCCCTGCACAGAACCAAAAGCAGTGCCCATCACTGCAGAGCCACCTTCAGCTCCTCTGCAGCCCCTGGGTGCTGACAGGAGACAAACTGGGGGTTCATTCAGGAAGATTTGTACAAAAATGGAAAGAACCAAAAGCCTTTGGTGTATTTTTATTGAGGTCACAGTAGAAGAAACCAGCAGATTCTTTGCCTGGGAGGGCTCAGAGGTGGCTCAGGAGCTCAAATGTGGAGAAAAATGGGGTTCTGAAATGTGGAAGGGTTTCCAGCTGCAGGGATGGAATGAGAATGCTCCCCTGGGCTGCAGAAGCCCTGGAGTTGGGTGGGGATGATCAGAGTCTGCTCTGTGTGGGCTGCTCCTAACCCCAGCGCTCGACTTGAACTGCTCCCACCTTCTCCTCTGTGCTGGGAACGAGCTGGACACGATCTGGGCCCCGTTGGTTGTTCTGAGCACGTTGTGAAGTCAGGCTGGCATCAAGAAATGCCTGAAATACCTCGAGTCTCCCCAGCTCAGGAGCGAATCCACCCTGCAAACCACGATCCTGCAGTCAGTAACCCTACACTGAGGCTTTTTGGAGAGGCAAACCCAGCATTTCTGTACAATCAGTGCTGATTGTTCCAGAGCTCTGGATCCCGGCTGGGGGTGGAGCAGCAGGTGAGCTCAGATCAGAGCCCTTTTGGGTCAGAGGTGTGGGGGGCATCACTGAGCTCTCTGGCTCCTGCACTGGCACATTCCCGATGTCCCTCCTCCCTGAAGTGCCCTCGGGTGGGACAGAGGCTCTGGGGGTGTCCAGGGAAGAGCTGGAGGTGACACTGAATGCTCTGGGCTGGGGACATGGTGGGGATGGGCACAGCTTGGACTCGATGGCCTTGGAGCTCTTCCAACCTCAGCAATCCTGGGATTGGGTGAGGAGGGGCTTCCCACACATCCCCACAAACACCCCCAGCTCCCATCCCATTCCATCCCATCCCATCACTCTGTGCCATTGTGAGTCCCCTCCTCAGCTGTCCCTCTGTCCCTGGACTGTAAATGCAGGTGGAAGCTGCTGCCTTCATTTTTCAGCCACTTAGGGAAAAGTTTAAATTTCTTTTTGTGCATCAGCAGGAGCAGGCCATTCTGTGATTTCTGAACTGAAGGGTTTGGGGAATTCACTGTCATTGTTCTGCTGAGGGAGTTTCTCCTTTTCTGTTTTGCACTGCTCTCTCCAAGACTGAAACCTGCAGATGGGACATCTCCAGTGCAGGAAGAGCTGAAGGATGGGTGGGGAAGGGCCATTTCCCCCTCAGGATTGCTCTGATCACCCCTGTGCCACCCCTTCCTGTGCCCATTTCTGCAGAACCCAAACATTTCTCACTCCCATGTGGGGCCTCTCCTGCCCCGTCCCTGTCCCTGTCCCCATCCCACTCCCACAGAGGGGAAGGTCACAGCACTGAACCAGCCCTGCATGGATTTTTTCCAGATTTTCAAAAATGGCCTTTTTTTACTCCCTGTTCTCACAGCAGAGTGAAATGAACTCTTTTGGAAATAAAACCCTGTCAAAACAGGTCACTGTCACAGAGTGATGAACCAGGAGAACCTTTCACCACAAAAAACAATCATTTGTGTCTTTGCAGAGGGATTTTCTACCTCGGTGTTGCAGCTCGGGCTGATTCCTTTGGAATCCTAAAGGAAAAGGATGGGAAACTTTAGCAGCAACTCTGATGTGGAAGAATCATTTAAAGAAGTCCCACARCATGGTCAGGAAGCCACTTGTTCTWCTCACACACAATATTTCTCCTACTGAGCAACATTTTTGTTTGTTCGGAGCAGGATTTGTGTGTTTATGGTAAATACCTGTCACATAGCAACAGAAATAGCACCAAATAATCATAGAATGGGAAGCTCCTTGGTCGAGAAGCTTTTAATGAAAAAAACACATGTCCCTGATAAAAAATAATAAATAACGTCAGCTTTCCTTTTTACATTAAAAATATCTGTACATGGTTACACAAAATAACAAAGTACCATTTCATTTTCTAGGCTCAGGGTGGCATCTCCGGGGTAGATTTTCATCCAAAAAAGGGTCGAGGCTCGTGGTCTTGATCCTCATGAAAATCCTTTTCCCAGATTTGTGGAGTTGAGAGCCTTTGCCCGCCCTTTCCCATGCCAAGGGGGAAGCAGCTCATGAGGAACGTGGCAACATCGACATGCGGGAAGCAGCTGAGGCCTGGGATCTTCACAAAAGGGGAGATTGGAAAAGTCTGGAAAACTTCCTGCCTCAACTGGAAGGGACCAGAAACAAATAGAAAAATAAAGGTGGCAAATGTGAGTAGAAGTCTCTGTCCCAAACGTTGCTAGAAAAGGGTTTTGGATGGTTTCTTCTCCRRGKTGGCACTTGGTGATCCATCCYGGCCMCGCTCTCTCCACCTCACAAYGCCCAGAGGTTGYTCAGGGGAGGGATGGGGACAGTGCYGGGCTCCAGGGCCACATCCCAACCTTTGGGAATGGCTCGGAGCTGGGCTGGCCCTGCACGTCCCACTCCTCACCCCTGGAAC